ACACTAATCTATAATGTACCTCACATTAAAGGGACACTATAGCTTAATGAAGTGGTTCTGGTGTCTATAGCTGGTCCCTGCAGGCTTTTTAATGTAAACACACACTGTGTGCAGCACTGGCGCTAGTTCATATGGGTGGGGCATTGTGATGTCACATGGGGGGGCAGCAAATTTTTATTTTGTCTAGGGCGGCAAAAATCCTTGCACCGGCTCTGATCCTGGGCAGGTGCACCAGTCTACTGGTGACCCACAGGAGGGGGAGTGCACTGATTGCACTGCACTCTCCTCCTGCCCAGCCCCATCTTTACCGCAGTGCAAGTGCCCTCTGCCCCTAATTTACAGTGGCTCACACTCACAACAAGCAGTGCCTGGAGCCGTGAAGGAGCGGGTATGGCAAAGAGCTACTGATTAGCATAACATCAATATCCGTTATAAAACCAGGGAAAGGTGGGCATGGATGGTGAACTGATTTGGTGGTGCAATGGGCCACTTGACTGGTTTTGCCCCCCAGGCCTAAGGCTGCCAGCCCTCCCCTGCATGAAATCCATTCTTGTTTAGTGTTTTATGTATTGTAGATTCACTGACAGGGATGTTAGCATTTGCCGGTGACTTTTGTAAGTCTTTAGCTGACACTTTAGGATTCTTCTTCACCTCATTGAGCAGTCTGCACTGTGCTCTTGCAGTCATCTTTACAGGACGACCACTCCTAGGGAGAGTAGCAGCAGTGCTCAACTTTCTCCATTTATAGACAATTTGTCTTACCGTGGACTGATGAACAGCAAGGCTTTTGGAGATACTTTTATAACTTGTTCCAGCTTTATGCAAGTCAACAATTCTTAATCGTAGGTCTTCTGAGAGCTCTGTTGTGCGAGGCATCATTCACATCAGGCAATGCTTCTTGTGAAAAGCAAACTCAGAACTGGTGTGTGTTTTTTATAGGGCAGGGCAGCTGTAACCAACACCTCCAATCTCATCTCACTGATTGGACTCCAGTTGGCTGACATCTCACTCCAATTAGCTCTTGGAGATGTCATTAGTCTAGGGGTTCACATAATTTTTCCACCTGCACTGTGAATGTTTACATGGTGTGTTCAATAAAAACATGGCAACATTTCATTCTTTGTGTGTTATTAGTTTAAGCAAACTGTGATTGTCTATTGTTGTGACTTAGATGATGATCAGATCACATTTTATGACCAATTTGTGCAGAAATCCATATCATTCCAAAGGGTTCACATACTTTTTCTTGCAACTGTATAATGATCATGGTAAGACTGTCCACTTACCTAATGCAGTGGCCTGCTGTCAGGACCCAGTTGGGTGCAATAAGTGTCCCTCCGCACGTGTGGTACCAGTAGCCATTGTAGGTGTATTGGACAGAGGCCTGAATGACAGACACAATGATTAAAACTTTATTGTTTCTGTCTGCGTGTCCGTCGATACATTGTACATCTCTGACACCTGATACCTGAATTAATGTGTGTACAGATCAATACACACTCTCCTCCTAAAGCTCTCTGACAGACACACAGCGCTACAGGGCCACAGTGGAGCTATACATTGAATTCAGATCAATAGACAAATTTGTGTGGTTTTACTAACCCACTATTCCAAGACTTGGGTGTTACCAGTTTAATAGTGTGCACTGAACTAGGTGCCAGTCTGGGCTGTACTGGGTGCCAGTCTGGGCTGTACTAGGTGCCAGTCTGCACTATACTGGGTGCCAGTTTGGGCTGTACTGAGTGTCAGTCTATGCTGAACTGGGTGCCAGTCTGGGTTGTACAGGGTGCCAGTAAAAGCTGTACAGGATGCCAGTCTGTGCTGTACCGAGTGCCAGTCTGCACCATACTAGGTGCCAGTCTGCACTGTACTGGGTGCCAGATTGGGCTGTACTGAGTTCCAGAGGATATTAGGTACCAAGAGACAAAGAGGAGATTAAAAACAACTTACCTGCCAAGGCCAACTGTGTGGAACTACCTCAGCACCATTTACAACTCTGGACAGCGCTGGCTGGTTGGTGGATACGCCACAGCCGTACGCTGTGTGAAAAAATCAAACAATTGTTACATTTTTTAACCCCTTAAGGACACAACTTCTGCAATAAAAGGGAATCGTGACGGAATATTTTCGTCATGTGTCCTTCAGGGGATAAACTCCAGCTAGTTATCTGCTAAACAGTGAGTCCTGCAAATTTGTAATCTTTACATATTTACATCAAAGTGACCAAAGCAGAGTAAGCTCTGTGTCAGCTTCTGGGGTAAGTAAACACATATTATACAAAGAACATAATAATATATATCTCTGCTTTGTTTTACAGACAGCGCATGTGTTCATTTCTCTCATTAAATCCAGGAAAATGGCATCCTACTTATATAGTATAATAATGATGCTCATCGTGGATATAATTTGTGCCTAAATGTAAAAACACAAATTAAACTATAGATATCAGATTTTTGATACTTCACAGCAGACAGGGGTACTCATTAATTTATACATGGAAAAAAATTATAATGCTCACTGCAGCTCCCCACACCTCCTATAACCGACACTACCTGAGCTGCACGCTCACTGCAGCTCCCCACACCTCCTATAACTCACACTACCTGAGCAGCACACTCACTGCAGCTCCCCACACCACGTATAGCACACACTACCTGAGCTGCACGCTCACTGCATCTCCCCACACCTCCCCACACCTCCTATAACACACACTACCTGAGCAGCACGCTCACTGCAGCTCCCCACACCTCCTATAACTCACACTACCTGAGCAACACGCTCACTGCCGGGGGCCCTGGAGTGATGGGCCCGGTTGCAGCTGCAACCCCTGCGATCCCTGTATGTACACCCGTGTACACACCTCCCCACACCTCCTATAACCCACACTACCTGAGCAGCACACTCATTGCAGCTCCCCACACCTCCTATAACCGACACTACCTGAGCTGCACGCTCACTGCAGC